ATTTGTTATACTAATTTAATGGAACACATTAAGTTACATAAAAAGTTTATCTAGTAATAACAGTTTTCATAACAGTAATGTTTTGTCATGAAAATCCAAAATTTGTGCTTCTGCTGTTGATGACAGTACTGGTATTTCAATTTGCCACCTCCGTTTCTGTTCAGTGTTATTTTAACGTAGACAAAGCCATTAAGGTAAAACCGACAGTTCCCATGTTCAAGTGTATTGTTCCTCTAGTTGAAGGATTTGTCTCTAAGCCGAAAAGGAAATAAATTTAAAAGCAGAGTTTATTTCCTTATATGGTCTAAATTAGTTTTCAAGCATTTTTTATGCTTTGGGTCTCTGTAATGCTAAAAATGCTTCACACTCAAAAATAACTAAAGCTCTTCAAGCTCTTCAAGCTTTCCAAGACTTTGTTTGAATCAAGTTTTCATTTTTGTTGTTTAGAGGAGGAAACAATTACATCTACTTAGGAAATACTTAAAATATCATTGTCAGGATCTGGAATTTAGAATTACACTGGGTTGGAATTTGATTGAGGGAATACTTGTATATGTGGTTAGGGAGTGGTTTTTGAAGTTGTTTAATCATGGAAGGCTTGGTTAAGACATAGATGATATGAAAATTATCAGGTTATAACAATGATTTGATTTTATAGCCAGAATGTGATTTCTTTGTATGTATGGCAGTTCTACAGTGTCGATACATAAATCAGAGATATTTAGTTACAATACATACATTTTGTAAAAAAGACCTTAGTATAAAGTAAAATGTTTCGTGTGCTTATGCAAGTCACAGTACAGTAAACTACATTTATAACAAACACGCTTATAATGAATTGATGGATATAACAAACTTACTTTTTTGTCCCGACTGTTTGCTGTCGTTTTGCTGTACATGTGCTTATAATGAACTATAGTTATAACAAACTATAATTAGTGGCCCCTTTGAGTTCATTATAAGTATAGTTCACTGTGTTATGAAATATTAGGGTGTGTACCGAGGACTTTGGAAATATTTTGCAGGCATGTGATAGGCATGAGATGACAGTGATACATCAATAAAGGATGTGATAAACATGATATTGACAGAAAATATATGACAGTGTCAGAAGCAATATGATATGAACATGATATGGACATTGAAGGATATGACAGTGGCATATATCGGTAAAGGATGTGACAAACATGATATGTACAGAAAGATATGACAGGGACAGAAATAATATGATATGAACATGATATGGACATTGAAGGATATGACAGTGGCATATATCGGTAAAGGATGTGACAAACATGATATGTACAGAAAGATATGACAGGGACAGAAACAATATGATATGAACATGATATGGACATTGAAGGATATGACAGTGGCATATATCGGTAAAGGATGTGACAAACATGATATGTACAGAAAGATATGACAGGGACAGAAACAATAGTCTATGAACATGATATGGACATTGAAGGATATGACAGTGGCATATATCGGTAAAGGATGTGACAAACATGATATGTACGGAAAGATATGACAGGGACAGAAACATTATGATATGAACATTATATGGATGTGAAAGCTTAAAGCTGGGGTAATCAGTAAGGGATATGATAATCACATCTATAGACAAACACATGATATAGACACAGTTTTGATTCACAGATAATAGATGTGATAAATAAACGCAACAAAAAATGTTTCCATAATCATAGTCCATTGTACAATTCCAAACATAGGACATGATATGGACATATTAGACAGTTACATAAAAGTGTATGCTGGAATATCGTAAATTATGGAATGCCTTCATGGAAAACTTTGTCTACTTTCATGACTTAAACCCAAGAAAATGTTGAAAGAATTTTTTTTTAATTTGAATTGTAAAAAGGAGCTGTGATAAATTGCTAAACAGTTTCTATTTTCAACAAATATGCTGACAAAATATACAGAATATTAAAAGTAAAAAAGGCATTTTATATTGTGTAGTATAAAAAGATTCACTGGAACAAACATGGTAACCTCTGTTAGTGCAATGTTCCATAACCTCAGTACATATCAGCATGAGGGCAGTGATCGTGTGTAGGAGTAATTCCGTCTTTCAGTGTAATTTGTAACTATTTGTTTTATGGGATGTGAAAAACATTTCATCATACCGTATCATATCTTTCAAGTACACTGCAGTCCTCAGGTGTAATGCGCAACATATATTTATCAATCCACAAATTGTCCTGTAGTGTTAAAGAAGATAATAGATGATTGAACTGGCATATTCCCTCCTAGAAGTGTGGGTTCAATGACTTGGGACAATAACACATTATGTCCCCCGCATCTTAATAAATGGATTCCCTGTCTTTGAACACTCCCAGCTTCCTAGGAAGATGAGGATGATGAGATGAAATAGTAACAAGTGTTTGTCCGAGGTAAGTCCGTTGCTCTACCTCAGTGTTGCACTCAGTGGCCGCTATTAGTGGGGATTGATAAAGACGGCCACTGATCAGGAGGCCGCAAAGGTACAGCATCTAGAGGAAGATGTGTCCCTTCATCATTAATTGTCGTGGTACAGCCAGAGTGGGATGATGACCTGGTGTTAGATGTAACCTGTGTGTATTTGTAAGGTATACGAGAGGTTGTAGACTTGTGTTAAAACTATCTGGTTCTCATTGGTGGTTGTGAGTGGACTGAGACATTGTTGCAGGAACTGCTCTGTCTAGGTGTTGTGGTGATATGGCTCTATAATGTGTGTTATCATATTGAATACACCTGGTCTGTGGATTTTAGTGTGGATTTTTGTGCTGACATTTTGTGATGGTGTCATCGGTTGTTCTCTATTGATTTCTATCCTAGCGGATATATCGTAATAAGGACTTTTCTATGTGATATTTAGGGATATTTTAAAATATGGTTGGCATGCCAAATCTGTAGATGTAGATCTAGTGCTGACTTTAGTGCTGGCTGTGTTTTATAGTGTTGGGGCGTTAGATCTTTTAATCTTTTTTAACCTACACAATATTTTATCAATATTTGAATTATCAGGTAATGCAGTTATCTAAGTTTATCTCAGCAGCAAGGACAAAACTGTTCTGTTGGTTTTAGTGCTTACTTCAGTGTACAGGGACAAATACTATTATCTAAAAATTGGCAGAGCTTGGAAATAATAATGAGTTGGTGGAGTGAGTATGTAGAAAGAATTCTTCCTCAGTCCACATACCCTTGCTAAATTTTCAGCACTTTATGTTCTATTATTTTATTTGGACTGCATCCATTTCTTCCCAGCAAGTCAATGACCGAGCACTTGCATGGTCTGTGAATTCAACCCAGCCAGGGAAGCAGTGATGCGATATGCATGTGATAAAACAATAGGTAACAAAGACCAGCTCTAACACGCTCTGTGATTACCACCCAGCATCTGTCTGCTGCTTCAAAGTGCTTCTATCAGCTGAAGTGATATGGTAATGAAAGGTGTGCTCTGATTTTGAAGAACTTGCATTTGTGTGTAGACTTGACAGTAGGAAGCTCTTCAACCATGTTGGGAAGTGTAGGGAGCTGGTACAACAGTGCTTTCCTTCACCAGGCCACTGCAGTAAGTGCATGAACTCCTCTACACTGCTGTTATCAAATGTTCTCTTAATTGAATTCCTGTGCTGCTATTTGTGTTGATGATTACTCTTGACATGATAAGATGTGATGATCAAAATGGTGTTACTATTCTTTCTTGATGAAATCATGTTTTTTACTGTCATCAGCTTCATCATTTTTTGTGGTAATAGACCCAATGTGGATTCTGAGTTAGTTTTGTTTGTTATTTAACGCTGCTCTCGGCAATATTCCAGTTACATTACAGTGGTCTGTAACTAATTGAGTTACCAACAATTCTGTGATTGACATCATGAGCATCGACCTACTCATTTGGGATACGATGACCTGTGAGTCAGTGAGTCTGACCACCTGATCATGTTAGTCGCCTCTTACGACGAGCAAAGCCTGACCTGGGTTGCTGAAGACCAATTCTAACCTGGATCTTGAGGGGTTTCTGATTTATTATACTGGTAGGTCTTCAGCAGCCTATGCTCGTGATAAGCTGACTGAATGGATCATGTCATCAGATAGATAAACATCTAGTCTCTGAAATTATCATATTTTACTGAATACATATTTTAACAGTTGTTAAATTATAGTTATAAAATATAATAAAAAGGAGCCCAGAGACTTTCTTCATTTTCAGATACTGCACTAGTCTAGACTTGCCAAACATTATAGACTTGCATGGGCTTGCATTCGTTTCAGAGTCTGTATGATAGACTAGTAGTCAGACTCAGTGGCTGATTGTATGGGATGAAACCGGGCCTATGGTTTGAAACGTTGCTCATAATGTAAATCACTGGTTTGTCTGGTCAAGTCTGGATTATTTAGAGGTTCCAGTGATATAGCTGGCATATTGATTCCTGTGGCTGTAAGCAACAGACAAATGTTAACATTTGGGTCATGTGCAGGTTTTGTTATGATTTTAGCATGTGTAGTATTTTATACATTCTTATTAAGATAAGTGTATGGAAATTGTTAGTCTTTGCAAAGTTGTGTCCCTTAGCTGTGCCAGAATCTGCTGGTTATAAGTTATATTAGATAATGATCCTTAGGCAGTAAAGTGATAAACAACAGCAACCTGTGCCACTTTGGGTTTCCGCTGAAACTGAAATCCTACTTAAAGCAGCATAATCCACTCACTCACTCACTCACTCACTCACTCACTCTCTCTCTCTCTCTCTCTCTCTCTCTCTCTCTCTCTCTCTCTCTCTCTCTCTCTCTCTCTCTCTCTCTCTCTCTAATGGAGAGTGAGCTGTTGGGATGACCAGTGTTTAATGAATGTTATCCTTATGCTGATTACATGGGTAAATCAGGTAATATTTCATAGTGTCCATCCCTTATCTGGCAAAACAATTGCTTACAGCAAAATGAAACTCTGACATTCTCGTTATGTAAAATGATTCTTTTTTTCTTTCCAGAACATGGTGAAGGGCGCTGATCATGAGCGAAGGTAAGAGTCTACCTTATATATACTTTTTATCACGATTTTGTCTTTTACGCCCAATGGAATCTGTTTCAACAGATAATCAAGACTGATTATCTTCTGGCGTTGATGTTTTATGTTTAATTAATATTTAATAATTCATGTCTTTATTGTAATGTATTTATGCTGAAGAGGGAGATTCAAAGAGTCCCTTTCTCTGTGTGTGGTCTTGTGGTGATCTATAAGGAAAATAACCTGGCTAATTGAACAGGTGCTGTTGTTCCAAACAGAAATGAAGGACAATTATTTTCTTATTTTTTCATGTAGGTAATCTTTTAGAGAGCGATAGGAGTAATTACATCCTTTTTAACAAATAAAACCACTTCACCGACCAATGAGTCTAACAATCTGTGTTATGTTAACGAGATAAAGACACCTGCAATTAAGACACTAACGATCATTATACAGGTAAGTTACCTGTGAGGATCAGAACGAACTTCATTTACACCAGGTAGTCGACTTGAGGATTTTTGTTTGCTAATGAAGTTTGGAGGTATTTGAGGGCGTGAATCGTGTTAAACAGTCGTCTTCTATCTTGTGATCAAATGACGAAGTTGACTATCTTGTTGCAACTTTCAGCAAACATCACGATGTGTTGCAGTTGGTTACTTCTTGCATCTTAGTGAAGACTAACATGAGAGGCATATCACATTTTATGAACTATTCCTTACACTGTGACATCTTATAGTTTGTAATCAGTCCAATGATTAAAGAGGTTGGTCCTTTTGTGAAAACTACAGATGTTATGAATAACCTTTGAAGGTTAGTAATATGTTTTCAAATCATCAGCGTAACTTTATGCTGTTGATGAATATTAATGAATCAAAAGGATCCTATTTCTGGTTTCAAGAATCACAATTTTCCATGGGTCATCATGACCCATACTGTCTAAAACATACCTGTCTGTCACATCAGCTGATTGTCATGCCTTTTAATTAATCTTTATTATGATTGTAGTCCTGTTGATTGTGGATAATTTGAAACCTGTGTAACGCAACAAGAAAAATCAACTTTGTTTTATTTATGGGTTGCTATGGCAACAGGAATTTCATGAAAGCGCTTGGAACAAGAAAAAGCTGGGTACAAAATATACAGAGGGAAGTCTTGTATCTCCATATGTCTTTTCTTATCAAACAGGAAATTGAATTGTAACATGGGTTATTTTTTTATGCTTGATTTCCATATTTACAGTCTGCAGAATATCTTATTGTTATAAATATATAATACAAATAAAATTACCAAGGAACTTCTGAGGAATGTTTGATTCAATGATTGCATTGTAATTTGATTAGTATAAGAAATGCTTCAGAGAAGATAAATCTACAGCTGTTTAATATTTTTTTCTTAATTACCTTCACAATAAATGTGGTCTTAACAAGTCACAAGCAGCTGATATGAAAGGTTTCTGTTTTTCTCTTACTGTGAAGAGACATGGGTGGCCCAGTCATCCCAGATACCACTGAATACTGTACAGGTTGTGTCCCTTAGATCTTAGGCAGGATCTTATTATCATGGTTTTCAATCCTCGAGTATTATCCTTGTTTTGTCAGCACCAGTGCTTGTGGTTTTTCTGTAAGGACCTGGCCATTTGGTAGAAATTAGAAAATGTTCCTGGAAATGCTAGGGAAAAAAACTCTAATTTCGCCTAAAAAACAATAAAAAACTTTTTCAATGGACATGCTTGATGTCCTGAAAACAATGTGTTTGAGACCTGATTTCAGGAAGAAATATTATATCCACAATCAACATCCCAATGTTCAAAGCCAGCATAAGACCAAAGTCAGTGTTTCTATGTATAGTCAAACTATCTTTATACAGTTTTCTCTCATGTGCACTGTATTCTCAGTCCATCATCAGCCCTGATTGAGAGGAAACCAAACCTTGCTCCCAACATTAACTGATCTACTTTCTGTTATGTGCTGGAACAAGTCTTTGAAGTCGTTATCTTAATGAGGGCATGCCCATTCATCACAACCCGATATACAAGCCATGAGTGATAAATATATTATATATCACACACTCTTTGGTAAAGATTAGGATTATTAGGAGTCTGTAGGCCTGTTGTCCAATTCTAAGCTTGCATCTGTGTATTTTGTCTGATTAAATACACTGTGAAGGTTAATTTGTAAGGTTAGATCTATTTTCATTTTGCTGATGATACAAACTGTGTTCTTATTTAGTTTATGGATGGTTTATTGATATATTGCTTTTTTATTAATCACTATGTCAAACAATGATGTTCGTTTATGTCAGTAATCAATTAATCACTGCTGAGATAAGATTAGTGGTACATTTATTAATTGCCTGACTCATGTAATTGATTGTTTATAGATTAAGTGGATTTTTGCTCCAGCCAATGATTTCAACTCTACGAAGATATCAGTGTCGTTGTTTACTTGTTATGAATATGTTATGGTTAATTTAGGTTGCTGGTTTTACTTAAGTACTGTGAGTTCAGCTCATGCGGTTTTGTAACCATCACACAAACACATAAATGCATCTTGGTTTAAAATAATGGGAGCCACTTTTTTATGTTTCTTCAAGGAAGAAGCCTGTCTCTCAAAGACGTTTTCAAGGCTATCAGTTTCATTATAAAGAGGTTGATATGTCTTAAGTTGTTTCCAAACATTTAGTCTTGTGTCAGCGTTTAACAAGTAGGTTGTGAGTCCGGTCTTGACTAAGGGGTAGAGTGTTGGGGGACCACTATCTATGACTGGCTCGTAGACCGGGCAGTGATCACGCAGGGTGTACTGTTAAGTTCTGTCAGTGTTTGTCAGTCTATAGTAAATTCTGTAGTGCCCTACACCCACAGAGGGGTCACGCTTACTCACATAATCCCACCGAAAGGAGAACCGTTGAAAGCTTTTGTGAATTGCGGGTGCAATGGAGCCTAGGAGGTTTTGTGTACACAAACAGCAGTGGTCGAGGAACTCCCGATGTCGTGCTTGTTTATAGTGGATATTTCTTCATAAATATACACTGAACATTGTGAGAACGGTGACAGTTAATATTACTGGTTCTCAAACACACAGGCGTGAATTTTCTGGATTTAATTTACTGATATTGAAGTGGATGTTTTTACCATGGTGCAATGACTGATAAGGGTAGTGGAATACTGATTCGTTGACTTGATGTCGCTGACAATGTCATGATCAACAACATGTATGTACAGGTAGGTTTGTCACAGCAAAAACATGTTCAGGCTGTGTTATTTCTTTTAAAGAATGGGAGATTAATTCTGGCAGTTCCCTACCTATATTGTGAAATCAGTATGATTTGATTCTATGTTATAACAAATGGATGTTTGACAGCATGGTTATACTGTACTGTATGTATGGCTGAACACACCTTACATTTATATAGACCTGTACTGAAGTCAAAGAGGTGAGACCTGTATCATTTATGCACAAATGTTAATTAATTGTCACTTTCTGTGTTGAATATTTAGTCCACTTGAAACATGAGGATTTTTTCAGGTTGTTACAATGTTATTCCCCAACATTGCCTCATTGCCTGTGTAGCTGTCACACTCAAGCTTGTGTTGGTAATCCCGGTGGGATGTTGCATTGATAGACTTAGCTGAGGTGAAATGGGGTTTAGTGTCTCGTTCAGGGTTATTTCACATGAATAGCAACAAATAGAGATGAAGGACAGAAATATATGTGAATGAGTGAGAGAAGATAATTTCATGACACCTCAGCAATCTTTTAAGCTTTGTGAAGAAGTTTATCTTCTAGTCTTTGAATGGCATTTAGAAGTGATACACATAAGGAAGAGAATTTATGGATGTCAACTTCTTTATTATGAGGAACACGTTTCGGAGTACATATACTTACTCCTTCATCACCTGATGAAGGAGTAAGTATATACTCCAAAACATTGTGTCAAATTCTCTATTAGGAGGAGCACAACGTTTTGGAATGTATACTTACTCCTTCATCAGGTGATCAGTTAATCCTAATGCTTTCTGAAATAGTTATCTGTTACTCCTTTTATCTTACTCACATTAATCTAATGTGAGAGTATACTATAATCTAGCTTTCTTAATGTTTCAAATGACTGGTCTTATTTAACTTTCTTATTAGTATTGATGAACAGAAATGTTTATATCAAGCAGATAAGATGGTTTATTGTAACTTAATAGATATTCTTTATTTGAAAATATAATAACTCAAGTGATTAATATATGGGACAACAGATGCCATTGTTGTAGGATAATTAACCAAAATTAAACGTTCATATCTTGAAAAGGAAAATAAATACCAATTAATGTTGTTTTATTCAATACACATATTCATTATATATTGATTGAATGAGACATTAATTATGGCAGAGATTAATTGCTAACTGATAATGTAGTAAAATATTAAAGTATACTTGACCTTTAATATCAGTGAATGCCAAGTCATTCAGACAGTTAAATAGTTGGCAAGTTGACTCGCACAGCTGCATTCAGTAAGACATTTGGTGAGTGTTTAAATACGTAGGCTATGTAAATATTGCACTGTCATCTGACTTATCTGTTCTTTTACAAGCTCTTGTTTGTTTTGTGAGTCACCGGTTAAGATAATTGGTGTTGGCAGTTGTTATTCAAACATTAATATAATGAATTATGGAAAATCTATTTAAATGTCAAGAAGACGTTTTAGTTGTTATCATTGTAAAGCGCACACGAGGGAACAGGCAGTTGGTCTGTAGTTATTATCACAACAGTTTCTATGTGACTAGGTCCTGAGAAAATACTCCTCCTTTGTCATGTAATCATACATATTTTCACTGGTTTTATAATCCCTCATTTGAAATTCAGAGCTTTTATTGTCGAGTTTAATAAGGTGGAAAATTTGATTTTTGACACGAACAAGCACACACTGCATTTGGTCAATTAAAGTTATGCAATCTTTTTTTCAATGCCTGGGACAGTAGGGTGGCGTGGTATTATACTTAATTTGATTGTCTACATGGGTCAG